AGTGGCTTTCCACCGCAGTGTGCTAAACTTGAAGAATGTTCTTCACACAGTATCTCTTCTCTACACTCCTAACATCTTTACTCCGACAGATTTAAAGACAACTCTGAGGATTTACTTTCTTACAGAGGCAACGTGAAAAACTGAAAAGTCTTTTCTCTTTTGTGTTTTTGTTTTATTGTTGGGTGGGAAGGGTGTTGTACTTGACAGTGGGAACCTTCAGTATCATGAATTAAGTCTCTTACAGGCTGCAAATGATTCCTCTGACCCCAGTGTGTGAGCCTGAACTGGGCAACCAGAAGATGTGGTGTCGCGGCTTTAGTACAGCAGACACAGCGTGGGAGCAGTGGAAATTCGTGGGAAACTTTTAGACCAAACTGTTCATATACTGCAGGCTTCAGCAGCCACTTTACTTGATTCTTCCAACTTCCTACATTTCTCGCATCCTCTCCCTTCCCCTCCACGTTCTCACCAAACATTCACATGTAAGGATCATAGGTACGGGGATAGCTCTGGGAGGAAGGTCATCAAAAAGAGATGCAAGATGAGCACAGATGATCTTTTTTTTTTTTTAGATTTGGGTATCTGTTATGCATAATTACCAGGGGCCAGCCTAGTTGTTTAGCAGTTCTGGGGATTAGGAGATGGCTCAGGGACAGAGATAAAAAGAAAATTCATAGTTTGCTTTTTAGGAAAGGAAATTGGGTCTGGCATAACTGAAATCTCTAAATGAACTGTGATCAAAGCTAGTGTTAAACTCAGCTACACTTAGAAGGCTGGACTGCCCAGCTGTCATTCATGTATCCAGTTCCAAACAGAAGGAAAAACCTATTTAAAATCAGAAAGTGCAGTTACTCTTGGAGAGCAAGGCCTTTGCAGGTGATCTCAGTTTCTGGCTCTGATGGTTTTAAATCAGACCTCAGAAAACTTTTCTCATGTGCATGAGCTTGCAGATCTTGTGATAGGGGATAAGGGTAGGTTTTGTAAGGTGCTTTGGTTTGGGGACCTCAGGTGGTGTTGGTCAGAGACTGGTTGCTCAATAAAATGTAAAAAGAGGAGAAAAATAATAGTAGCACACCAAATCTAGGTGTGGTTAACATCCCATCAGCCTGACAACTCTTGGTACTAAGGCAACAGAGTTAGTAAATTGCAAGACTAGACATATTTTTTATGGGTCCTTTCAGGACTACTAACGGATACCATAAGCGTGCATCTGCTACACCACATTCTAAATGCTAAACAATTCTGTAAATCTGACGCTCCCTGCTAGACTTGATGACACAGCTATTAATATACGGTATCCCCCAGAAACAAATATGAAAGATGCAGAACAAGATTTACGGGCATGTTAATTACAGCATTATTTATAACAGTAAAAAATGAGAAGTTAAATGCCTAACACATAGGTCTGTCGTTCAATTATTGCGTATCTACATTACACAGTCATTAAGAATCACGTCTTTGAGGAACATTTGGTGACAAGAAAAATACTTACGATATAATGAGAAATCAAAAAGGTACAAAACTGAAAACAATATGATAATATTTATTTATGGGTTTTTCCCTCTGGTCATATATATGCACATGACTGGAAAGGAGGAAAATAAAACATTAATGGTGGTTATCTCTGAGTAATGAGATACTAAGTGTTTTTTTAACCTCTGTATTTTTTTTCTGTAATTTTCCAGTTCCTTACGAACTACTACTTCTACAATAAAATGTATTGTTTTTAAAAAGCACTTGTCAACTCTCACAAGAATATCCAGCTAAGCCAGCACTGGTCCTATATAATTGTTATTAATAAATAATATATAAAATTTCTGCCCATGTGAATAATTATAGTGAAAAAAAAATCTGTATGTCTTTGTCAGTAACCTCTAGGCCAGAGGCTTTAAACCTCATGATCTGCATTAAAATTCATCCTGTCAAAATCCCGCCTTCCACATTAAATACTATTTATGTTGTTAAGTAAAGAGAGGGAACTGGTATGTGAGTACATAGTCTGAGCCAAGTGTTTATGCACATGGTTTCCCTGAGCACAATTATGGATGGGGAAGGTAAAGTTCAAAAAGGTTGAATAACTTGCCCTGCTCACATGGCTATTTGGGGGTCAAAATGGACACAAAACCTCTCAGTCTGGTTTGAAAGCCTTGATTTCTTCTACCACCGCAGAGCTGATAGAAACTTTAGATGAGACACAGACTTCATTGCAGACATTTAAAAATACCTCCACAAGATATTGCACAGTGCTTCTCATATGTGGCCAAAAAAACTAATTTTTGCTTCTTTTCATTCACATCACCCCAGTGAAGGTAGTAGGGAAATTGCCCAAAGGAGACAACACTACAGACAAAACAGAGAAAGACAAGTGAAGAGCCCACCTACTGGGAAACCTCTGAAACAACAGGCAGTGATTATGATGATTACCCTCACCTTCGGACCGGTGAGGCAGTGGCCACCAGTGGTGACCAGCAAGTGTGGCTGGGCTAGATCTTCCACAAATATCTCACTCACCTCTGGTTACAGTGCTGCTCCTCCCTCCTACTTGGCCTGAACCCCATCTCCCAATGGTCATTTCTTCTGCTGATTACAAAGCCCACATTCTGCATTCCAGAGAGGAGTTTTTCAAAGCTAAAAACTTTCCTTTAGGAAGGACAAAAGACCTCAAAGATGATCTTCCACTTTTTTCATTTAATAATGAATGGCTTTTGATATTTCTCAAAATGAGAGCCTAGCGACTAGATATTGTGGTAGGCTTATCTTCACAAGTATCGTCAATTTAACCAACAGATGAGCTCATAATCATAACTACATCCTGCTCAGAACCTCAGTTACAAAGTAATTCCATGTCCATTCTCTCATTTGCTTCTCACCATCAGTCTTATGGAAAGAAAGGCAGGTAACTCCATCCCCATTTACAGACCAGGAAACTGAGGCATACTGCCATTTTGGCTGGCTTGCTGGATTTGACAGAAGGCACAGAGGGACTGATTGAGGGGAGAAAATGTGAAGGTTCTCGTTGAGAATGTGGCAGCAGTGTGTCATTGGAGGACAGGACCCTGGAAAAAAGCTCTAGGGTAAGGATGGGGCTTATGAAATATTCGAGTGGGAAGAGAAACTACTTAGGTAGAAATATTGCCTGTGGAGAGCTCTGTATGAATGGCTTCCTCCTCTCCTTTTCTACTTTCTCAGTCCTCTCCATTCTTCAGAGCCAACCCAAATCTCACAGCTCTGGGAAGCCATTCTTTTTTTTTTTTTTTTTAAGATTTTATTTATTTATTTGATGCACACACAGAGAGAAAGAAAGAGAGAAAGCGCACAAGCAGGGGGGAGGGGCAGAAGGAGATAGAGAAGCAGACTCCCAGCTGAGCAGGGAGCCCGATGTCAGGCTCAATCTCAGGACCTTGGGATCACGACCTGAGCTGAAGGCAGACGTTTAACTGACTGAGCCACCCAGGCACCCCCCCGGAAAGCCATTCTTAATTATCCACCAGGAAGAAACCATAGTAATACCATCTTAAGGTTTTCACGTGCCTTAGCTCATTACAACATCATGACACATTTCTGAGGGTGGCTTTGCCATCTGTTTTACAAACAGGAATATGAAGCTCAGAAGGGCTCACCTGTCCCCTGCTGACACGGTTAATAAGCCGCAAAGTCCAGATTTCAAACTACATCACGTCACAGCTGCCTCACCTTCCTGTACACTTATCACATCTTGTATATCGCCCGAGTGTCCCCTCATTACTCGACTCAGTTATAAGTTCTTTTTTTTTTTTTTTTAATCTATTTGACAGAGAGAGACACAGTGAGAGAGAGAGCACAAGCAGGGGAAGTGGGAGAGGGAGAAGCAGGCCTCCCTCAGAGCAGGGAGCCCGATGCGGGGCTCGATCCCAGGACCCTGGGATCATGACCCGAGCTGAAGGCAGACGCTTAACGACTGAGCCACCCAGGCACCCCTCAGTTATACGTTCTTTGAAGGCAGACAGCAAGTCTTATGTTTCTTTGTAACCACCCCCACTGCCAGCATTTAGCAGAGGTCCATGTACACAGTAGGTTCTCAATAAACGTCAGACGTTAAGTATCTGTTTGGTAGGAACAGTAGTTATTAAGAGGGATTTTTTGGTGCTTTGTATGTCAGGCTTTCTGCGGTATATAATTAAAACAAGAGTGAACATGAAGTGTATAATTTCTCCTAACTCTAGCTTAATCAGGCATTCATTACCATGTCTGATTCTGTGTTATATGAAAAGAACTGCTTAGTAAGCATTTTCTGTGATGAGGATAACCAAACACATACAGATTATCAGAGAGATTTTCAAAAAGACAAAAGCGAAACCATCAAACACAGGGAGAGACAATGATCTGCAATGGCATAATATTTCACCTGGGACTAAGGACCTTCCAAGGCAAAGAGAGTACCTGACTAAGGTTGGGCAACTGGATACCAAGGAACACTGAGATAGGAAGTTGGGGTGCTAACTGGGATCCTGTGTCAAGAAGATGGATGCACCACCCTACTGTTCCGGGTCAGAAACAACAGAGGCAATGCTTTCAAGGGCTTTTCTGAGAGAAGGGGTTTGCTCTGAAACCTCTCCAGCATAACAATCATTTCATTACCATCTTCAGTGACAAGAAAACTTAATAAATGTACATGCAATATACAACTTATTACCTTGTTTGGTCCCATTCCATTTATCCTCCCAACCCATCATTAGTGTATAGCTTTGAAAATATAAAGGGCTCAAAGAAATTCGCTGAGATGAGAATTTTAACAATATAGATTGGCTCAAGTACCTTGAAATTGACGTTTGGTAATCTCAGCTAATAATAGCAGTGCCGGTCTACCATATTTTATTGCCAAACCATTCATAGTAATCTTAATAAGCCACTGACGGGCAGGGCTTCTGACTTCTTTGGTGTTATAAATAAAGTGCCACATACCTGTGGGCATTCAACCAACATCAAGAAACGAGAGCAAATACCAGATTAGCGGTACTTACATTTGTGTCCTCATGGCTGTGGCCATTGGTCTCGACCATTTCCTTGGTACCTTTTAACTGCAAAAGAAAAAACAAAAACAAATCAAAAATCTCAAATGAATAAGCAAGCATATCTGTTAAGTATGTATCATCCTGTTAACTCTGATTTATCTTGAGGTCACACTTTATAAAACCTTTCGAGGAAAAAAAAAAAACAGATGGAGCACATAATTCTAATGAGTCTTATTGAAACCAGTTTGAGACCAATATTTTATAAAACTTGATGGCTGGCAAAAAATAAATGGGTCTTGGTCATTATTTTTTAAATAATAAGATTAGAAAGCAGTTCCATAGGCATAAAATGTATAAAATTGGTTCTTAAGAATAATAAATGATTTCATTCCCTAGTTGTATTGCTATTAATTTCAACCCTGCAGTGTTTGCAAGTTGCCACCAGCTAAAGGATGTTATACAAACGATTACTCGTGAATGATGTATTTTCGGTTGTTCTAACATGCCGCAGTGCTACTCGACATGTCTTCCTTGAGAACATATTTGAATGACTGACATTGTTTCTGGAGGCCTAAAAAAAAAAAAGATGATTTTCTTCTTTTTGTAAAGGAAGAACTGGGAAGACATTTCCTTGGTCACTGAGGCATCAGAAGAAAAGCTATTTCTCATGAGATTTTTAACAGTGAACATTTGAAAACACTACTTTCTTTACTCTCTCTCAGAAGGCTTAGGAGAGATCACTTATCAGGAGATTTCTGGAAACCTTTAATTGGCATTTTATCCTCGCCTGGCTCAAAGCAGACATTTGGAAGCAGAGAGCAAGGGCAAAGGGTGAGCAGACCTTGCAGCGGTTCACCAGTATTTCTTCCTGGCTTATTAGTGCTCAGGAAGCAGCATCTTTGTCATCATCTTTTTTTATGCCGAAAATAAAGTATTCAGGGCAGGAAATAAATGCTTAAAGTTGGAAAGAAAAGAAGAAAATAAATGCAGCTATACTGACAATGTGTCTGATCCAGAAGATTGGTTCTTCCTGGTTATTTGTACATACTAAAATGAAAGCTGCTTTTTTTTTTTTTTTTTTTAAGACAATGTCCAGTTCTCAGCAAGAAAGCCACACGCTCTCCATGCCAAGAAAGGGGCTTTGCCAAAGGGGGGGTAACATGAAGAAACTGAGGCTGGGGCAGCTGACTATGGACCAGAGGCTCTTTGGCTCACTTCCATATGGCTCCCACTTGAGAAACAAGAATTCTGCCCACTGATTTTCAGGGCTCCCTCACTGATGTTTCTGCACACAACAACTACAATGTGTTGCAGACATGAAAAGTGAACGAGCCCCACAGTGACAGCAAGACCAGCCATTATCAGAGGGCACAGAAGGACCTAAAACCCTGTGTTCCTAGCGAAAGGTTTCCGTCTTGCAGGCGTTCCTCACATTTCTCCTCACCAACCCTCTCTGCTCCGCTTCCTTGACACAGCGGGGAAGGCTTTGCTATCTTGCCGCGGAAGTAAAGGATCATGTCGTGAAAGCCGGTTCCACCTGTACAAGTTTAACGACACAGACAAGCTCACTGCTCTGCTCCCTAGTAAACAGATTCCATCCTGCTACTCCATGTCATCCTGTCTGAATGCTCCCCTGGGCTCTCCTCGTACTCCCTGCCCACCCGTCCTGTTCCCTCCCCTGCTCTCTTCCGCCAGAGCCACCACAAGCCACCGCTCCCTCCCGCACCTGCAGGCTGGCCGCTGCTTTGCCCTCACTGGCCTCTGCCCGTCCTCTCCTCCAGCCGCTCCTCTCCTCCAGATGGAGCGGAGGAGTGTCCTGGCTGATGACACCTGGGCTTGTGAAGAAGCCCCAGATGTCGGAGGCTGACACCTTTGGAAAAGAGGTGAAGGGCAGGAGCCAGTGGGGCCTGAAGTGACCGAGAGAAGCCGCATCCTAGCAAACAAGGAAGGCTGGGAACCTTCTGGAGAGTCTAGGGAATAAGAGTCTCCCCTGATGGGGATGGGGCAGGGCCTAATGATGGTAAGTGTCTGCCCTCATGACCTATTCTTTCTTTTAGGATTCTCATCACATGGCATCACTCTGAATAGCAAAGTACCGGGTCTTCAGAAAAAGGTCTATCTTTTCCTCTGCGTGTGTGTGCGTGTTTGCGTGCGTGTGTGCGTGTGTGTGAATGATAGCAAGGCTCTAGGCGCATGCAGTCCTACGTTCCAAGAGTGCTGCTACTTGTTTAGGCCCTGTCTATGCAGGCACCGAAAAAGTGTTTACACATGTAGTTACCCTACATAAGTCCAAAGAAAGCCTCACGGGGCAATGCTCACAGAGGTGTAAAGGTGCGTTTGCAAGTGTGTGTCTGTGTGCGGGGGGCTGCCTGCAAGGCGATGGGAGGAATGTGTCCGCTGTGTGCTCCCAACTGCAAGGGTGACAGGGGCACCCGGCTAGGGGCTCCCGGGAAAACGGCCTGGGGGCGGCAATAGCACCCAAATGCATTTGCTTGCAGTGTGTCACTGGCCTTCTCAGACGGATGGACGTACTTTTGATGTCTTTGCTTGCAAAGAGCTATCCCATTCATTTTTTTTTTTTAATTTTTTATTGTTATGTTAGTCACCACACATTACATCATTAGTTCTTGATGTAGTGTTCCATGATTCATTGTTTGTGCATAACACCCAGTGCTCCATGCAGAATGTGCCCTCTTTAAAACCCATCACCGGGCTCACCCATCCCCCCACCCCCTCCCCTCTAAAACCCTCTGTTTGTTTCTCAGAGTCCATTGTCTCTGAAAGGGGGGAAATCGGAGGGGGAGAGCTATCCCATTTAAATGAGCAGAGCAGATCTAAAAACGATTCCTTCCCAGTCGTATTTTCTAGCTCTTTAATGATTTTAGTTGTTCTGGATCTTCTTCATGTTCCCCATTTTTTTTAAGTAATGGAGATGGAGGGCGCTGTCGCATTACAGCCCATCTGTGCACTTCCTGCTCTCTAAAAATGCGGGCCTAACAAGAAGACTCTGGTGCTTTCTGCAAACCTCAGAATCTCTTTCTGTGTTGGGGGCTTAGACCTCAAATCAAAATACAGGTATAGCTCAGAGGTATTGCGGGTTGGGTTCCAGACTGCAATAAGGCGAGTCAACTGAACTTCTGGGTTTTCCCGTGAATATAAAAGCTAAGTTTTTACTATCCTGTAGTGTGCAATAGCATCATGTTTAAAAAGACAATGTACAGAAAAGATCTGAGTCATCTGGAGAAAGGAGAAATCCACCCCTCCCCATCCCAGCAAATCGAGGAGGGGGGGGATGGCGGGGGGCGGGCGGGAAGGAGGGAGAGCACAGAACAGCAAAGCTCAGAGCTCTGGCTGATCAGGAGCAAATTTGGACCAAATCAGCGCTGCTCTTCTGGAAGTCTTTCAGTCATGCAGAGGAGGAAAGCCCAGCGAGTTGGGGGCTCCTAGCTAGCCGGCCACTGTGAATTCAGTCAGTAGTTTTCGTCCAATCGAACATCACCCAAAATCACACAGATTCAGCCTCAGTCTACATTACTCAATCTGTCCTAATCACATAATCACCAGTTTCATAAAGCATTCTCCTCCAAAGCTTATGAAGTATCTCCACTTTTCACTCACAAGTCACTTACTACTTCCAGGGGAAAGGAACGAAAACTCTATTTTCCTGCTCCCCAGCCACAAGAATCTAAAACCACTTGTAAAGTGACTGAGTCACAGCTGGCTATATTCTCCCGGGAACATATTTTCAGAAATATCACTTTTGAAGTTTTTTATATGGTGGGTGAAAAAAAAAGTAAAACAAGCTAAATTTGATTACCCCCAAAGGTTGGGGTTACTCTGTGTGATTTTTTTCCCCCTCCTCCCAATTACCATTCATTCCATCGTTGGCAGCATGGGAAGGCCAGAAATAGGAAAGCATTTCAAGAGCCCTCCCGTGTAGACACCGGGCTCAGATTTCACTCAGATTTCACCGTGCTGCTGAGCAATCCATCTTTCGCTGTTGTAAGACAATACTTCCAAATCCACTTATCAGTGTCAGGCCACACTTCCGTATCAAAGAAAGCCGGGGTGAAATGGTCAGATTTACAAACTTCATAGAAAAGGTCTGTTGCTCGCTGTGGTTATTAGATAAGTGCCTGATGCACGGGGATGATTTTTCTTTTTTTAACGTCCCTATGAATCAGTCATTCCTATTCATTTGTCTGCCTGAGTGCTGCAGGTGATGCTAAACGCATGTTCCTCGCTGTTACACTTAAGGGGAAACTAGCTGCTTGCTTTGACATACATCTGCATCTCTGATACTTTAAAACTTTATCAAAATTCATTTGTCTTTTGGAGTAAACTTTCACACGTTGCTGGCGGGCTCGGGTGGTCCCCATTGGGGCAGGAGGGAGAAAGCTTATGAATACCATGTAGTAATGCTGCCAGAAAGGTGTGATGGGGCCCGGGTGGACCAGACAGCAGACGGACTGCAGAAACATCTGGGTGCCTGTCGGGCAGCAGAGGTGCATGGGCCCGGGATGGAAATGGTGCCCGAATTGGAGCTGCTGCCTCAGCTTACCTGTTCCTGGAGGACTTTAAGTAATGCCTGCGTATGTGACTGTTCTTCCTTTGCTTGCTCCAGTTCTGACTTTTTGTTGTTTAACTCCTCCTGGATGGTCAGCAATTGCTGTCAACGTAAGAACATTTGAGATAAGTAGGATGGAAGGCCAGGTGACTGTAACATTCCAATGTGTGAGAAGATTTTCGCAAGTCTTAATAGCTTAATCCACACTTCAGTTAACTTTTGTGCCCCCACCCCCATCACTTAGTGTAACAATATTACAGGGGTTTTTTAAAAATATTTTATTTATTTGCTTGAGAGAGAGGGGGAGAGAGAACAAAGGGAGAGGGAGAAGCAGGCTCCCCACTGAGCAAGGAGCCCGATGCAGGACTCGATCCCAGGACTCCGGGATCATGACCTGGGCTGAAGGCAGACGCTTAACTGACTGAGCCACCCAGGCACCCCAGTATCACAGGTTCTGACATGTTATAAGGGTGTTGGGACCCTGCTGCACAATAAAACAAGTTTGTGCTAAGGATCTGTGAAGCCACCCTCAAAATCCTTGGGATAAAAGCGTATTTGTAAAAATATGTGGAATAGTGTTGATAGACAACAGGTTTTGATAGATGAAGAAATTAAATAATACAAAAAACTGGATGTGATACGTCAGCTTGCCCAAAGTCACTTCATTTGACGTCAGACAGGAGGGTTGGCCTTCCAGCAGTAGCCCTGTAGAGCTACTTCACCAAGTAGCTGGGACTGCAAAAGATCCTTTTCCTTTCTCTGTTGTGACGGTGATGTTTTATTAAATCAGCAGGACTGAAGTCCAAACTGCAATCAATGTATCAGCCAAGAAAACTGCTGATATAAGCTGTCAAAACTCTAAGCTATGGCCTACACTGCTATTTTTAAGCAGGGCCACTGAAGGGATCTTTGTAAGCCTTGCCTTGCGCTTCCCTGGCCCTATCAACTCTAACTCATGTTGGGGCTTATCCTTGTCTGCTGGAAGCACTGTGCTGCCTGGCACGAGTTCTCTGCACCGGGGTTATATGTGAATATACACATAGGCTGGGCCACGCATTCGAGAGGCTTCGCAACGGGCCGCAGAAACGGCTCTATTGACTCAGAAGATTCTTAACAACAAAGGGCTAGTTTGAGCAGACCGAAGAGCATCTCTTCCGCTGCCGTACGTAACTACCGCTGCGCAAATGACAGCAAGTGTTTGCGCATTCCTGCCACGGAGGTAGCGGTCTCCAGCACCACGCCTGCTTCTCTGGGGCCCGCCGCACAGCGGCCTGGCCGTTCGTCATACCAAGGCCGGAGTAAACCCTGGTGCTGGACTGCTGATGCTTAAACCCACCAACTGGAAGGATTAAGTTAAGTCTTCAAAACCTCGTTTTGGGGGATGTTGGGGAGTAGGCAGCACTCAGAAAAACACACTGTGCTTTCCCTTGGGCTCGCTTCTTCTGTTCCCTCCTTTGGCACTGGATATACATTTAGGAACCTACTTTGGTCCCCTCCCCTGCACCCAGCATAAACAGTGATTTCCTCGCCATTTCCTACAAACTCTGTGCCTCCGGTTTCACCACCTGCGCACGTGAGGCTCCCATGTGAGGTGATACACACACCCCGCACCAGCTCCCTTAGCACTGTATGTGATTTAATTGTGCATCAGTTGATTAAAGTAGAGAAACCAGGGAGCCCATATTGTCCTCTGGCACCGTGACAAGTACCTAAAATGACTGCTCCCAAAGTGTGGGGAGGGACTCTGCTCCTTTGCTCTCATTCACCACTGGCCCCCCGGAACCACTCCCCGGGAGAGGGGGGGGCTGGTGCTTGGACTTCGATGACGCCCAGGGAATTTTTACGTATCAGACAAGTTGCAAATCCAGTCCTTAAGCCTCCTTTAAACGGGAGCCAAACAAAGGGCAGGAAATCGTCTTCAAAGGTAGGTCACTTATGTCTGCTCACTGCAGCACTCGGGCCGCAGGATTCAGCTACAGCTAGCGTCCAGCAGAAGGGGATTGGCTCGGTCAGTGTCGGCCATCTGTACAGCGGGACTCCATGCAGCCGGGGAAAACCACAAACATCCCTGCACATGGAGGAAGCACACAGCACACTGTGCCCCCACGGAAACGGCAGGTTACAAAAAGGTCTCGCTGAATTTTGCAACACGTTCATAGACAAGGATCTGGATACTTGGTATGGGTGAGTGGGTTTAAGGATCTTTAGGTCAGTTTTGCTGGTAATTTTCTGGTATGTCTGTAAGGAGCATATGCTGCTTGAGTAATGTTATTGCCGGCACTGAATAAATAAGAGGGGAAGTGAGAATTCTATTGGAATCTGCTATTTCATCCACACATTTATAACACCGCTTTATTCTACTGAAACACACACACACACACACACACACTCCTTCCCTGGAACTCATTTCTCACTGAGGCTTCTGTCCTATTCCATTCTTCCTGGGAATCACACTTTTTTTTTTAATTGTACTTATTTTACTTTTTATTTTTTAAAAATTTTTCTTGGGCGCCTGGGTGGCTCAGTTGGTTAAGCGACTGCCTTCGGCTCAGGTCATGATCCTGGAGTCCCCGGATCGAGTCCCGCATCGGGCTCCCTGCTCGGCGGGGAGTCTGCTTCTCCCTCTGACCCTCCCCCCTCTCATGTACTCCCTCTCTCTCAAATAAAAAAAAAAAATTTTTTTTCTTATTTAAGTATAGTTGACACAGGATGGTATATTAGTTTCAGGTGCACAACATAGTGATGTGACAATTATATGCCTTGCTCCGTGCTCAGCACAGTAAGTGCGGTCACCATCTGTCATGATACGGTGTTGTTATGATATTACTGACTATATTCCCTATGCTGTGCTTTTCATCTCTGTGGAATCACACTTTTTAAAATAAAATGTCTTCTCTGTCATCCCCACTTCCTTCTCCTACGTAGGCAACTACTTCCAATGGTTTCTATCTTTTTTGAGTGTGTTTTTCTAAAATATATATTGTTTTCTGAGGATGCCTTTTTTGTGATTTTGTCATATTTCTTGTTACTTATGTTTTTACTAAGCACTATTTTTTAAAGACCCATCCATGTGAATATGTACACATCTAACCTGTTGCTTCCGAGGGCTGCATAATATCCTACGGAGTACGTCCACCCAGTTATACCTGATCCACTCTCCCAGAGAAAGCCACTCAGATGACCTGTAGTTCTCACCCTACTCAAGGTTGCAGTGGAACATGCTAGTGCACATTACCTTATGGACCCGCAGGGGGGCTTCCCTGGGATCCATACCCAGCGGTGAAACCGCTGCTCTGGAGGGTGTGCCTAAGATGTCAAGTTGCCCAACCTGCCCACCCACCGGGGTGTCTAAGAGTCCCTGTGTCCCACAGCCGCACGAACACTTAGCGTTACCCACCCAGCTTTCTAATATTTGTCAGAGTTCTCATATTTGTCTAATAATATAGAGATTCTTCATTAAACCTTCTTTTTGTACTTCTCTAACTCCTTGTGATTTTTAAATATCGCATCATATGCTTGCTAGCTGCTGAGGTTTATTTACACTTCTTAAAAGACTATTCAAGGGTAGTGGTTCTTAAATATGAGAATCTTTTTTGAAGATTTTATTTATTTATTTTAGAAAGAGAGAGAGAGCAAGCAGGGGGAGGGACAGAGAATCTTAAGCAGACTCGCCGCTGAGCCCCACATGGGATTTGATCTCACGACTCTGAGATCATGACCTGAGCGGAAACCAAGAGTCAGATGTTTAACCTGCTGAGCCACCCATGCCCCGCAAATATGGGGAACTTTTCAAAACAATACTGATTCCTGGGCCCTCGAGAAGACCAATTAACTCAGAACATCTAGGCAATGATACCTTGAAAAATAGCAACAACCACCTTAATAGATAATTCTAATGTGCAACTGGGATGGAAACCACTGCTTCCATGAATGCTCATTTAAACCTCATTCTACCCCAGCATGACTTCCACCCAGAGTGCCCTACTCACACTGTCCTCACTCACTGATGCTTTTCTCCTGGCTGGCCAGCCTGCCAGGTTCTTTTCTTCCTGCTCCATGCCTTCTCCAGGGGATCTGTTCACATCCATGTCTTCAAGGGCACATCCCACGTGCTTATGCTTTACAAGTGTGACTTTACAGCCTCTGCCTCATTCCTGCTACCCGCTAGACCCTTAACTTTCAGTGTTTCAAGGTCTGCCTACGATCATACCTCCCTTCCCGTACCTGAATCTGCTCCCCCGGAATCCAGAGTTAAAAGCTTGAAGTCCACCCCTTTGTAACCTCCCTGCCCATTCCTCTGCCTTTTCTCCCTCCCATCCTCACCGTCATAGTTAAGGCAACCCTTTCCTCCCCTCTGGATCTGCTTGTTCCCCCAGTCATTCACTCTACACTCCTGAGAGAACCGACCATCGGAAAATTCAAGTGCTCCCGTACTTAAAAAATATTACTGGTTCAGCATTTGTCACAGAACTAGAACAATGATACTAAAATTTGTATGGAACTACAAAAGGCCCCCAAGAGCCATAGCTCTCTTGAGAAAGAAGAACAAAGCTGGAGGTATCACAACCCCAGATTTCAAGACCCACTACAAAGCCATCGTAATCAAAACAGCATGGTACCAAAAATAGACACACAGATCAATGGAACAGAACAGAGAGCCCAGAAATAAACCCATGCATAAATGGTCAATTAATCTACAACAAAGGAGGCAAGACTATACACTGGGGAAAAGACAGTGTCTTCAGTAAATGGTGTTGGGAAAACTGGACAGCTATATGCAAAAGAATGAAACTGTATCACTTTCTTCGACCATACACAAAAATAAATTCAAAGTGAATTAAAGACCTAAATGTGAGACCCGAAACCATAAAACTCCTAGAAGAAAAGGTAGGCAGGAATTTCTCTGACGTCGGCCATAGCAACATTTTCCTAGATTTGTCTCCTCAGTCAAGAGAAACAAAAGCAAAAATAATCTATTGGGACTGTACCAACATAGAAAGCTTCTACACAGTGAAGAAAACCATCAACAAAACAAAAAGGCAACCTACTAGATGGGAGAAGGTATTTGCAAGTGATATAGCTGATAAGGTGTTTGTATCCGA